TTAAACACCCGACTACTGCAAGAAACAAGTTTGCTTTTTTGCACGACATTGGAAAATTTATCCACCGCAAGCCACTTGCCTAGTAAAAATTCTGCATCAATTGTCGTGCAAAATCTCACCAAGCATCTTTATAGTGAGCGCAACAAATAACACAGTTGAGGCGACTAGATTTCCAGTGTTCTTCCTCTGAAAAATTTTAGCTTGCATGTCCAAATGAACCTTTTCATGAGCTTTTTTCTTTGAGTAAACTGATCCAACTGAGAAAACAAGCATCTAATCAAATTCAAAGAAAAACCTAAGCATTTGAACATCAACTGATTTTAAATCGTAAACCCGTCCTTTCTAAGAATTCTTATTCTTTTTCCCTAAATTGAAACCCCATGTCAACTCATTTATCTTGTCCTACCTTATGGACAGATATTCTTTTTTATGCTCCATTTCTATCTTCCCAGTCAAACACGCACCTTCAACTTCAAACATTTCGCCTCAAGCAAACTGTCGCCCGCAGTTACTTCGTTCTCGCTCACTATTCACAAGTTGAGCGGCTTTTCCACAAGAAAATTCTCAGCTTTCATTCAAATTTAAGAAAAAAAAACGCTTTTCAGCAAACAATGGCACTTTCAATAACACAGTAAACTTGTTGAAAAACTGCGAAGCACTGAAGTGAAACACACTTATAATCCTTTTTCAGTGCCCCAACAGTTCCTTCAAAAGGAAACAACCAGTGATATCACCTTCAGTAGCTCAATTACTATTTTCAAACGTGCTACCAAATAATGAAACGAAAAATGTTTGCTAACAAAATCCTGATCAGTTTTTCAAAGCAGGGGATGGACTCCTCGAAAAAAACATCAAAAAAATTATAACGGAAGCCAGAACTAACAGGTACAGCAATACGGCAATTAAGCTAACATTTACCAACAAGAGTGCCGCACGTGGCACCCACTGCTTTTAATGCATCATCCGTATTAAGAGACTCACAAAGCAATGATACGGCCTCACGGGTTTTTACAAATATCAGAACACGGCTGTCATTGTTCGATGTAAATTCCCTCAGAAGTGTCCTGCAAATCACGGTAAAAAACAGATGTCTTCCAGTTAAGAGAAAATTCAAGCAACCTCACCCACGCAAAGCCTCATATAACTTGTTCTTTTCCATGGAAACGTCCAAACCAAAAATTCCAAATTCTGAAAAAACCTGATATATAGGCCCTGTCGTCAAAACCGAACTTTTATACCAAATTTTAGTAAGTAAAGCTTGCGAAGCCAGCTTGAAAAAATGCGAATCCCGTTGAGCGTAAAAACTAAATTAAACCCCCAGAGTCTTTCTTCCCCTTCTGCAAAAGACAAAACAGAAAGCCTAATTAATCAAAGTCATCTGCCTATTAAATAACCGAAGATACTTAAAAACAATTCGTCGCGATTCTAGGGAAGCCCTGGTTCACAAAAAATGAAAACCTGTCATCCTCAACTGTTACCTCGCAAGCGCTAGTAGGGAGTTTTATAGCAAAAATTTCATTATGAAAATTCAGTTTGCCTCATCACTTCAATGATTTTAAACAGCGCCTTTTATGAAAAATAAAAACTTCAAACTTTCCTTAATTTGGAGAAAGAACAAAATTGCTAACCAGACCTCCCCATCCAGATCAGCACAGCAACTGTAAAACTATTGTCTTGAGCTTACCTGTAATAAGATTCCGAGCCTCACTAGTGAAACGGTTTTCCATAGACGAAAGTTGTCTTTTCAAATAATTCTGGGGAATCTGACAAGGGAAGTGATCGCATAGGTTCAGCGTCTTATACAGTAGCTGAAACGCACAAAGTTGACGTCACAAAACAAATATTTAACAAAATGCATTCTTCTAAACAGTTACTGTGATGTAAAAAAAAAGTAATGATTATTTCGTCAACAATATAAATCTTAGAAAAAATTACTTTTTAAATCTGTTTTGCAAAACAACAAGATTGGAAAAAAAAATAACGCCTTAAAATTTATATGGACTTGTCAGAACGAAGAGGAATGAGAAAATAATAGACTGTTCACATTAAAGTACCGTGGAAAAGAATTTTAGCACAAAGATTAACACAACAAACGGATGAACTAAACACCTCAATTAACTCAAGACTTTCCATTGCGACCAGCTGATCTTCCTTTTTCCTAACTTTTTCAGGAATCACCCGACCCCGCAGGATTGAATACCACTGCTCGTATGCTATAAAACAGTAAGAATAACAGAAACAATTATACCTTCATTCTATTTCTTCAAGCATAAAAAAAGATGCAGAAAAGATGAGTAACAAAAACTAAAAGAATATAAAAACTTGGCAAAAAGCGATCGAAAGAGAACCAAAAAAAAAGAAGTTGGAGGCTACTTTAATCTCTTGTGTCTTGGTAAAAATATAGCAGAATTCCTCTTCGCCGTAAATGACATTAAAAAAATTCAAACATCATAAAAATACTGTAAACTACGTTTTGTTATAATGAAAAACCTTGTGAGGTTTTAGGACAGGGAACTCGACCATAGTCAACCATGACCGCCCTAATCTCGTCAGACTCTAAAAATAATTAACACCAATTACGTTTTAGAGTAATTTAAGCATGTAATCAGTAAACATGAAGGTATCTAAATCCCCTAATAAAGTAAACCTCCGCAGTCAGAGCCCCTTAAGAGACGACCTTCAGCGACAATCCTTGTCCGCCAACCAATTGAATCTTTTAAAAATTCCTGTGACTTCTCATTACCACTTAGGCTACCTCCTCAATTTGTTTTTCTTCCAAAATATTAAAGCTAAACAAGACACCAGCCATATAAACGGCTGTATAATGAAAAACATAAATTTGCACAGGAACCCCTCCAATATTCTAAAACTCTTCTTTTTCAAGATACTTGCATGATTCTTCTATATTCTTTTCTCCACTTATAATAACATATTCTAACATGCGAGACAAAACCCTTACTGCCCTACGAAAGCTTTGTCGCTCTTTAAACTTTATCTTACCTCCTTCCCGAAAAGACGGCATCATAAAGTTTACGAAGCCTCAGGCCAAACTTCTTACAGCAATAAAAAAAACTAAGTCACCTCTAGACATGAAGCGTTTTTCGAAGACTGACATCAGTTTAACAACATGAGAGTAAAAAACGTCGGTTTCATGATCAACTGGATGAAAAGCAACCTCTGTAATGAAAAAATTCAAAATCATGGAAGTACGGCTAACCGGAACTGCGAAAAAGATAAAGGTGTCGTACCACTAACATTTGGAGCCACATATGACATAAGATTATCCCGTTTTTTTCTTACCCTACTCAATACTGTACAATCTAAATGTGCACATATTTGTAACAAATGTTTAAGACCATCTTCGAAGGTTTTTGCATCACCGATTCCAATTGACGCAGTTAAACCAATAATCTGAAACTGCCGCCTTCTAACCAAACTTTACACTAAAAAAATTTATAGACATGATTTCTGAATTTTCCCACCTGTGGCAACTTTGACACTCCCGTGAACTTCAGGCTATGATAACACTTCATAATTTCTGAAAATCTAAAAGTATACAAGCTATACCTTCAGGGCAAATAAGAAATGTAAATTTAACAAACCGTTATATGGGTGGGAAAGTGACGCATGATGACACTCATCAAATATCATGAGCGTAAAAATAGATAGTGAAAACTGTTCTCTACCTTCCTTATTACTTCCCTTGAGAAGATTCCTGAAACGTGTAACACTTGCCAAGGAAATCTACAACAGTACTCAAATTTTGAACAACGGCTGTCTGTTCAGTAATATCTGTCTAAACGCGACCAAAGATAATCAATAAAACACAATTATGAACTTGAATAGCTAGAAATTACACGATGATTTGCGGAGTAACAACGATTATGTCATAATTCTCAATAACAGCTGCCGTTGGAGTACTCCTAGCCGAGGATGCTACACCACTTAGCGTAGCAACTCGACGGAACGGCATAACGCGTTCAAAAAGTTTCGCTTGTTGATCCAAAAACGTTGTATTTGTCACAAGGAAGCAAATCTGGAAATAAATTTCCTCAGTATTAAGCTAAAGCGATAAAATCAAAACAACATCTTATTCGGAATTACCATACACAGATACAAAACGGATTTACTTCTCAAAAAAATTGTTAATTCCAAAAAGAAAACACCAACTTTAGGATCCCCCACCGTCTTCACAATATGATCTCTTATAATATAAGCAGCAACAACGGTTTTTCCTGATCCCGTTGGAGCACAAATAACAGTATTTTTACCCTGGCATGCATGTTCCGCCAACTCATACTGATAATCGCGTAAACTGATTTCGCCTGAAACCTCTGAAAGAACAGACTGAATAAGTTACGAGGAACTGGCGGACAAATGTTAGGAATCTTAAGAAAAACATCAAGGAGTACGCAAAGCAAAGAATAAAGCAAAATAAAGAAAGCCAAAAAAGGCACCAAACTGACACAAAGAAAGACACTACAACCCTCAAAACCGCTGCAACAAAACCCACAGTTATCTTCCACTCGTAACTTCACCCTACCGCTTTTCCAATTCGGCCACCTCACCAGCCCAAAACGTACTTCACTTGAAGAAGCTAGCCGACCTGCCCCCTTTCTTGAAAAAGTCTCCTTGAACAGTTACAAGGATTACTTTTAGAATTTGAGGTTAAAACATCAAATCACGCTCCCAGCAATATTTGAATCTGTCGGCTTTCCCTCGACGCAAGCAGTGGATATCCAAATACAACTCCTCACAGCTTTTTGTGCAGAATAATTGGTAAATACAGGTGCACTCGCAGAATTTAATTTTCTCTTTCCCCACATATTCGGCGTACTCCTATTCACCTTCCGGAAAGTCTCTGTGTCTCTCAATCACTACTTCTCAAGAGTATAAGTTTTACTTTTTATCGCAGCAAACAGAACGTTTACGCTAAAAATTATTTTGTTTATTGTAGTAATGCAACAGAGAACTTTATCTGACAATCTGAAGCTTCTAATAAGCGAAAGATGCATAAACGTTTCTAAAGTTACGACAAGTGAACAAAGTAGAGTCAGAAACTATACAAGAGAAAATTAGCTAGAACTACGAGGCAAAATTTTTAACGCGAGTACCATAAGCTGTAACAGCTCCCCGAATCGATATGCTTACTACACTAAAAACTATCCAGTTAAAGGATTTCACCCATACCGAACCCACTGTCACTAGAATCCTGGAGAGAGTATTACGCATCTAAAGCTTGATTTTCCAACACTGATTTGAATCAATGCCGTATCTGGCGATAAACCAAGTGCAAATGAAAAGAACGAAGATTACGCAAACAATAAAGGTAAGTAAAATCAGAAATAAAAAGACGAAGGAAAGAAAAAGTAAATTTCCTTCTCTAAAAACCAACAAAACTTTCAGTTCCCTTAGTGGATCTAAAGTACAACTATAGATACAGACAGAATGGCAAAAGTCTACATCCATAAAACTTGACACAATTATCTCATATCTTCGTCTTGTTCTTATTTCCCTCAACTACAGGCCTCTGAACAGAAAACACCTGCATGAGCAACAACTTTACTAAAAAAATAAATCCCTTATCAATAACAGTGGCAAAGATCCAACCAAATGGGCTGATTTCGTAGGTTATCCTTACTGTCAGCTGGGAGTGGTAAGAAAATTCTTTGGTAAAACCTTTCTTCCACAAGGACCAAATTGGTCATTATCAAAGTTGTATCGCTTTGCCCTAGATATATGACACATCTGGAAAATATTCCCTCATTCCTGTGTGGAATGCACGTAATATAACTTCTTCAACGACTACAACGTGACAAATCTTTCCCTTTTTCAGAAGTCGGAACAATCACAAACAGGTTTTTGGATGTAAACAATTCTAGCCTGACCGCTGTTCCCAAATTACTCTCTATACACTACCTGATCAGCAGATTCAACTTCTAGGGGTTAATGAAAAAGGCTGAAGTGCTTGGAAAATTACAGTCTTGAGACAACTCCCACTTCCAAAGAGGTACAAAAAAAGCTATATTTGATCATTATTAAAACATGTTCCCGTACCTTGTTCCCTTTCAAAATTTCGGCGTAATGCACTTGGGGAACTGGAATAAAGATCTACTGTGCAATCGTTATTGTCTGATTCCATAAGTTCGGAAAAGCTAGTCCCAGGGAGACAAATGCGAAGAGTCCCTGAAACGCAACATTCTCGCAAAAAAGCTTTAACAACCGGACTACAAGTCTAAAAGTTTGATCTAAAAATACTGATAGAAACAATTCTTGCTCATGTGTCCAAATGCCTAACCATCACCTCTCTCTCTACCATTTTGGCGATCCATGACCTGAATCCCTAAAAATATAACGACCTTGTATAGTAATCTCTGATAAAAACTGAAAACTCCCGTGGATAAATGATTATGGGCTAATCAAAATATCTGAAATGCCTCATCCAGTCATAGAACCAATAAGAACAACCAAAATTGACGAAAAAAAAGGTGGTAAAACAAGAGGTAAACACCTACTATAATAGTTTGCAAAATCTGGCCATATTTCATCTACGACTTTCTCTGCTATCACACCGCATTTTGAAAGTGCTGCTAGAAAATCTGCTTGAGCATTCCTATCCATTAAAAGAACTCCACGAATCAATAACTTCTTCCGGCGTTCTGGATCTGCAAAAACGCAACAAATAAAAGAGGCCTGAAATAATATTAGAAGGCGTATTATCCACATATGAACTAAAATAACCCCGTTCGTGAACATAAATTATAAACTAAAAGACGAGCTCAGTAACTTATAGCTAAGAGTCTCATCGCAGAAAACTTTACATGTTTTGTACCGCAGTGAATTAACACAAAATTTTGAAATGAATATCCCACACCCTGAATATTGAAAACGAAACAACAGAAAGATGAATAAAAAACCTCTTCCCCCACATTTGTCCACTGAATCCAACAAATTCGACACCTTCTTAAAATCGGGAAACGCAGAGAGAATTTCCCGTATTTTCGATGGGTCGATAAGCTCCATCACTTTACCAGAAAATATAATCAATTTTTCCTGATATTCATTACGAAGGCTTGCCATCAAACGATGCAACTCCTCTTTCAGTTGCTTCGCTCCGTCTAGCGCACCTTGAAAATGAACTTCCTAAACCTTTATTTGAAAACTCATTCTATAAAGAAGAGGAGCAAACAGTAAAAGGAAAGAAATAATTATAAATGTATACAAACTTTCGTTCAAGAAAGCGAGAACATGGTCCAAAAGTACTGTTCGAGTAGGGGCGATTTGAAGAAGCGCCCATATTTCCTTCACAGTTCTTAAACGGCTATCACCAAAATTTCCCTTTAAGCGTTCAAACAAGCCATTGTTCAATAAAGAAGAAAATTCTTTCAGCCGATCAAAATCCGATAAAAAACTGTAAAATTCTTGGAATTAATTTAGGCCTCAAAAACGATTCAGACGTAGCATAAGATAGAATAAAACTGCTTCCTTAAACAGTATAGCAACAAAACGTTCATAGTAAACTTCAAAAAAATACAAAATATAACACCAAAAAAATTTCTTAATAGAGCCATAACCAGAGGAACGTTTGTGCTACACAAGCCTGGCCCAATAGTAAATTGTACTATAGTCTGTTCAAAACCAACCACTTCAATAATTCATCTTCATACAGCCGCAGTACACCCAATGCTAACTCTTCCTTGCCAGAAAATGTTAGTTGCGGCATGGACCAAAAATCTCGTATTACTTTCCCTTACAAAAGTTAGACGTAACCAACCTTCCAACAAATTGACTAAAAAGAACAGGCTTTCTAAAAGCAAAAACTGACAAAGACAACAGATGTAAAACAAAGTCCACAAAAACAACAGCAAAAGGAAGGACAAGTAATTCCTTTACTTCATATATTCCAAATTTTTGATCACTCATCATGCCACCAAAATGAGAAAAGTTCTTCATCTCATTATCTTTCACTGCAACTAATTCTGGGAGAATAAATTTTCAATTTCAATCGTAAGAAATTTAAACAATAAATAATTCTAATCCAATCACAACCTACTTCCCAAATATCAGCAAACGCTAGCGAACAGAACGTTAAGTCCGCTCCTCATTTTAAAAAGCTTCTCGTAG